ACAAAACGGATCGTAGCAAAAATACCCTTCCTGAGTTTACTTAGTTAGTTTCTGCAGGACAGCAAGGGTGGAGGCCTATGAATCACAAGTCGCACCGTTTCGCTGCCCCTCCCCTCCTCGCTAGGACTTCGAAACCACCCCCGCTAAAATGGCTCGATGTGAGGTGAAAAAGTTTTCACGTAAACAACATCAGAGGCCCTATTCCCCGTCGTTTCGGAATCACACCTGATGACATCAGTAGGGACAGCACACACGGATTACGGTATTTATGGGGTGCATCTGTCATCCAGTCGCACACCTACTAAAATTAGAAGCTCCCAAATGGCATCGCAGATGGTCTTACTTGGTGTGTTGGCTGCGTCAATTTCCCACCATTCGAGTATAAAATTTAAGAAGACGCCATTTTCTATCAGATGAGTAAAATAATGAGTATTTTTATGCATGATTTACCTGAAATATAACTGAATTTTTAAGAACACCGAAAATCAATGGAGAAAATGCCTGCTACTCAAGTATACATTTTCTGACATATTATTGTTTTTTCAGGCAGCCAGAAAAATTTCGTTTGAAAGCCGGCATCCTAAAGTAATTGAATGATTATAGAATTATGCTGTATGATTATTGGCTTTACAGACCTACTTAATTGTCTTTTCAAAATGAACAAGCATTTTGGAATTTCGGTTGACATTTCATGAGTTAGCCCACCATTGTAGTCTCTGCATGTCAGACGAACAGCCGCCGCTGATGTGGATATTCAAGTAGACGGCAGGCAGGGGCGTCGAACTGTCGGGGATTTTCCGAGCAGCTTTTTACAATTAGGGGATGAAATGGGCGGAACTAGCTAGATGAAGTTTTGGCCACGGCCTCTGTCTTTAAAGTCCATGCAACCTCATATTTTGACGGCTAGAATCAACCGCGTGAATTCCAAGCGCAGATTATAACCCGGAAATAAGGATAGCAAGGAAACGGCTACATAAATATTGCTTGAAACAATAAGGCCTTTGAGAATGATAATAAGGCTCGTTTCGCAAATTTTCGACTTTGGTTCCCCATGCCGTCCTAGGAAGTGAGGCAAGTGTGCAAAACAGTTAAAATTTGAACATGACTAAAAATCGATATTGCCCTGTCACTACTGCCAGTCAGCCACTACTGTGGGTTGACACCACGTTTTGATTGGTTATGGCATCTTCCACTTTTCTTTGGGATTGTTGTACACGTTATCTAATTCGATGTGCCGAGTGACGCACGAGGTATCGGAATGTATTTCCTCCAATCATTACCGGCCTTTTTGGATAAAAAGACATCTATAGTGCGAGTCTTGTTCCAGGAAGATTTGTATCCAGTTCCTGGCGTATGCATAGCAACTTGGTACAAGTGGTCTCGTCTTTTTACTACCAACCGGTGCTCGTGTATGCGTGGAGCAACAGATTTCCCTGTTTGACCACAGTAAACTGCCCAACAGACGTCGCATGATATTTTATAGAGGAATTCCTTCCTTTCTAAATGGCCAATCCTATTTTTAGAGTTTTCAATCCGGTTGCGAAGTGTAGTTGTCGGTTTTTGCGCCACGTGCATTCGGTGCTTCCTTATATGTCTTTGAAGTGGTTCGGAAGCATTCTTAATGTACGGAGGCGTGTGCCGGTTTCTTGATTTGGGTACCTTATCGGAACAGTCTAGTTCCCTATCTTTTTCTTTCAACTTCTGTTGTCTCATGCATCGATGTACAAAATCTCTAGGACACCCACTCTGGGAAAACAGTTTGAACAACTAATTCAGTTATATTTGGTTAGTTTCATTGCCAGAGCAGGGAGTTTTTGCTCGATTAAGGAGACTTTTTCCCGGCACTCCGGTTGTGAGAGATCGGGTGATTTCTCTCACAGTGTGAAGGAACGTCCGTACAAGTTTTCTTGCGGTTAACTGCTATATGAAATATCCCGTCAGTCTTTCTCTGCACGAGGACATCAGAAAATGGGGATTTGTTTCCAACCTCTTTTTCGAGTGTGAATGTGGTTCCCGGAAGAGTTGAGTTGACAGTGTTGTGGAGCATTTCCAGCCGATTCTTTTAACAACAGCAAAAGTGTCATCAACAGGACGCACCCATAATTTGGAGTTAACTAATGGAAGGGCGATATCATGTATATTCATAATAATCCAACATATAATATAAAGATATAATATATAGGATATGTATAATGTACATGCATAGTATATATTATTATCATGTATATTAGGTTATTGTTAAATTAAATATTTACGCAAGTTCAAACTGCATCCTCTACGTCGACAAACGAGGGCTATCCCATAAAGAACCCTAGCAGTCCAACTGAAGCATCAGATTTGAGGCCAAGAAAATACGACCTGACCAGTTAACTGCATCAGAGACGTCAGAGAATCATGCTACTCACACAAGCAATTGAGGACAAACGGTTACAAAGGCCCAAAGTACAGAAAACTAGTATGTCTCGAAGCACAGGGGTCAAGCTCTCTGACGACGGTCGATAATTTGGAGTTGTCGCGCAACCAGCTGCAGGTGCCAGACCATCGCTTACAGCTGCAGTGGTTCCGTATGACCTCCATACTCTCCCCAGACCATATGCGTCGTCCTAATTGAGCGCTGCACACAGTCTAGGCAACGCGCTTGAGATTACCGCAAAGCCGTCTAGAAGTTAAATGGATTTGGTCTCGTTCTCTGGCAAACAGATTTGTGCGGCGGCGGCGGCGGCAGGGATTGCGCAGACTTTTACAGCCGCATCTCTTGAAAGCGTTCATTAGCGACAGTTATTCAATAGCTGAAATTTATACAGACAGAAAAGCTGCAAATAGCCCCTAGAAACCGTGGGTCGCCGATGGACTGCAACTGATAGGGTATCAATCAAATTCTAATCCCCGGCATCATCAGCTGGAGCTATCAATTGAGCATTTGTCAAACTGTTTTGACTGACGAATGAAAGAGAAATTTCGAGTTCCAGGTGTATGCATAAGTGAAGAAGAAGAGTCGAGCAACGGAACACTGTGTTTATTGTCCTGAGCTTTCAGACTCGTTCAGGAGTCCATCGTCAGAGGTCGCGGAAGCAGCCTACATGCCTTATAACTGTCGCTTGTTCTGCTGCTACCGTTACCTCTGACGATGAACTCCTGTACGAGTCTGAAAGCTCAGGACAATAAACACAGTGTTCCGCTGCTCGGCTCCTCTTCTTCACTTATGTTTTGACTGAATTGCATTGAGAAGCAGGCCGAAAGTTGTAGAGGAAATCGAGGCAACGGCAGTTCCTTGCCGGTTCATACCACCGTACGTTCAGTCAGAATCAAAGACCGAAAACGCACAGTTTCTTGCTCACGAAGGAGTATGTGCTTGGACCACATCTAACCACATCAACCAGCAATGCCATATACCCGGAAGTTCAGTCATCAAGAGCGGTAAGGATATCTACCACCTCGTAGGATACAATGGTGCTTTGTGCGTAAATGTGGTTAAAATAAAGGAAGCATGCACAGAATGAACTTCATCTCACCATTTTAACGCATATCATATTCCAATAACAGTACATGGTCAAATCGACCGGAGACGGGTGTAGGCGTGTGCATTTACAGTATATGGGCTAACTCATGAAATGTCAAAACGAAATGCTGATTTGCGTTTTCGTTTCGAAAAGATTAATTAAGTAGGGTTGTAAAACTAGTCAGCCTGCAGTATAATTCTATTATAATTCAGTTTCCCCAGGATGCCGGCTTTCGAATGAACTTCCTTGTGGCGGTATAAAAAAACCACACTGCAAAAAATGACTACTTGTGTAGAATGCACTTTTCTCATTGACTTTCAATGCCTCTAAAAGTCCTATTATATTTCGTTGAAAACATGCATAAAAAATATTCATTCCTTTGCTCATTCTGTAAAATATTACGTCTTCTTCTATTTTATACTCAAAGGAGGAACATAATTCCGTTTTAAAAAAGTTTCTCATTGTGAGAATTTTTAAAAGCGTAAACGTCATTTCACTGCATTTCCCCATGTGGCTTGTAAAGTTAACAATATGGATCAAATCCAACGCTAAATTTTATGAACCCCGTATGGTCTCCTCTTAATACCGTAGAGAAATGCGTAGTTTTCCGTACGCGGAAAATACATGACTTGTAGTTTTGAAACCCTGAATGCAAGTGTGACGGCAGAGCGGGTTTAAAATTATTCGGGAATTGGAAAACTTTTTGAAAAATGAGTTATATCCCTCCTTCGAGTATAAGAAGACGTAATTATCTGTCGAATGAAGGAAAGAATGAAATGAGAAAAATTCATGTTACATATGTAGTCGTTTTTTACAGAGTATAGTTTTTGCATGCAGCCGGACGGAAGTTCATTCCAAAGCTGGCATCCGGAGGTAGCTGAATTATTATAGAATTATACTGCAGGCTGACCAGTTGTACAACCCTAATTAATTAGTCTTTTCGAACCGAAAACGCATTTCGGATTTTCAGTTGACATTTCATGAGTTAACCCACCTACTGTACGCGGATTGGTTCTTAAACACCATACTTGCCAGGTTTCAGTTAGGGTGTTTCGTGTGTCACCCAAGTTCAAGGGCCGTGGAGGTTGCAATACCAAGGAGCCATTACAACTTAGCCCACAGTCCTGTACAGGCGCATGTCGAGTACGTCTCTATGCGACGAATGTCGAGTGCAAGTACAGTAACAGTTAAGGACCCGGACAGACTCAGCGCTGACCAGAATAACGCATGCTATCAGCCAATGGGGTCCCGCAGTTGGGTAGGGTAGGAAATGTGGACCCCCATAGTAGAGGTCGTCTTGCGCCAAGTTCCAGGGGGGGGGCGAGTTTGGGTGCTTGGGTTGCGCTTTAAGGACTGTGTGCGTATGCTATGCCTCGCTTCAGCAAACCATAGCCCTCGCACTTCGTTGGCACTTGACTCCCTGCCGGTGGGTGCGCTTGCGCTCCCGCTGGGTATACTGGCCGTGTGCATGACTGCCCAATCATCATCCTCGCCACTTAATTAGCGTGTGAGTACCCGCTCAAAGTCTGGACTCTGCTGCAGATTTGACAGTATCCTCCTACCGTAGTACCTACAGACGCAAACATGTTAAAAGGTGACATTTTATCGTATCTAGTCTTCGGGAAGTGAGACGAGGCTAAGTGGGTGGGTGACAAATGGTGGTTGCATTTAAGTGATGATCCCTAAGGGAGGTTCACCTGGTCTCCTGATTACCGTCCAGTAGAAACTGGCCGAGTGCGTGAATGACGCGTTCAGCAACCACCTGCGAGGAATTAGGTCCAGTGGCGGAGGCGGCAGAAGACCCCATGGCATGCATTGAACTCCAGGAGGAGAGACCGGTAGAAGTGCTCCGGTTAGCGGAGTTCGCAGACTGTAGGATACGGACACCTCCCAGGCGTTCAGTGATGTGGCACACCTGTATTGCACACTGTCGTCGTACGGCAGGATTCTTGTGCCTTTGAAGATTAGTCAGATAAAAAAAAAGTGGACTGCTGAAGGTAGTACTGAGAAAACAGAAGTCATAATCACACTGTTTGGTGGTCTAAGGAATAGCTAGACACAGGTAGAATAAGGATGTTGGTAGAATCACCTTTCGATATAATCCACCAGGCAGGTGACCAGGAAACCAGTTGTGAGGTTGCAAGACAGACACGCACGGGTCAGTCATGAGAGCGTACGCCATGTCAGGCTTCAGCAAACTGTAGCTCTCGCAGCCTGGTGTGCGCTGACAGTTCTCTGGCACATGACTCCCTGCCGGTGGATGCGTTTGCGCTCCCGCTGGGTATACAGTCCGTGGGCATGACTTATGTCATTCTTTCCTCTCTCATACCGGCTTGGAATGCTACCAACTGACGGACAACTTGAACCTTGCAGTCGGCCCAGTATACGTGTTTATGTGGAGTGGTCGACTGGTGGTCTGAGAATCAGGCTGCAATGGTTCCCTTATAAAGTGGCTTCTATGACATTAATACTCCTTGGGATCCGTGTCAGGCATGGCGGCACGCCTAGGGGCAGACCGGGCCGCGCCAGCCGTCGCCTTTGTTTTCCTTGCTGGAGTCATAATATTGGTGAGTGTGTATTGTGGACCAGGGTTGTCGCTGCGTGCCTAGTCGCAGGCTCTCACCGCGCCATTTTGGGTTCCGAGCAGTCATCCCCCTTTGTCTTTACTTGGTGTCCGAAATCCCGGTCAGTGGGTGTTTGTAGACATAGGGGTGCGGTGGTGCGCCTAGGTGCGGCTTCATTCAAGGTGCCATCAACCTGCGCCCTCTCCCACCTCTGGCCTTCTCGACTATCTTCTGACATTGAGCCCAGTTTGGCAAGGAGGAAAGAATGCGGTGGATGCTCTGAGAGTCTGCTACCACTATGTATGCACTAATTCAAGCACAAGTCACTTTACCCGCTGCCATCATGCTATGGAGCACTCGGCGAACATCGTCAGTCACGATGGTTGAACTGTTAGTGTTTAGGGCTAAAGTTAGGACACGGGAGTGTGTACTCCCGGGATGTAGCGCCAGACTGCTTGTGGCACTGGGGAGGTCCTCATTTCCGTTTGTGCTCCATTACTGGTCTAACTCATCCGCGTGCAGAAGGATTGTTGGCTAATAGGATTTCTTCTTTTTTCAGTGGAAGCTCAGAGGACAACTGTATGCACCTATTTTTGTATGAAGTCTTTCTCACGCACGACAGTTCGACCGTCGATTTCGACGATGTCTACTGTGCGCTACTCAGCTAGGTGCAGCAAGCATGGTGACTTGCGCGTGAATTAATTTATAGTAAAAGTAGACTTGCGGAGCATCTATTGCACTCTCTCCTCCCCATTCCCACCTGGACCCGGTGTCAAGACAGAATCAAGAAGACTGGAGGCGGGTGAGGGTGTAGGTGGATGGCGCGGTCAGGCCCGCATCTTGGCATTCCACTCCACAGCCCCTGGCCCACGCTGCAAATGACCGGGTTTTGAGCAACAACGATGAGAACACTCCAACAGGGGTCAGAAGGACGAGGATGATGACTGGGCAGCCATGCCTACCACCTGTATACCCAACGGGAGCTCGAGCGCATCTGTCGGCAGGGGACCAGGTGTCAGGTAACTGACAGCGCTGACCAGACTGCGAGGGCTATGGTTTGCTGACACTGGCATAGCACACGCTTTTGGACCTTTTGACATTTCTCACACACATACACACGCCATGCCTTGTGTCAGGTTTCTTCTATCGAGCAGTCACATGCCAGTCCTCATTCAGTCACCGGCAAAGGAATATAACAATTTCCAGACACTCGTAAGTCGTCCCCGATACTGGGTATACCCCGTGGGTCGGAAGCCAACAGCAAATAATGTCTGGGGTCAACTAACAGTTAAACAACCTCGAAGGCTACCTTTTGTGGCAAGAGTCACTCAGCAATCGTTCAAGGCAGACAACCCCCTCATTCCCATCAACAACATAGGGGGAGAGGGGGAAGACCAACGTGTAACAAATTTGAAGAGGAAAAATGAATTGAGTTTTCCACTTGTAAGACATCCATTTGAATCATTTCGCATTGCCTGTTGTGCAATATGAGATCGGAGAGGGCGTATGCCGCCAGCTGTTTTGTTCTCTATACTTCATTTTTAAAGAACACGCCGGTGGCGGAGGATTGTGGACTAGAACGTGACAGGACCCGTGTCGACACTAGACTCTAAAATGAGTGTTGAAATAGGGAAGTTTCGATACCATTTCAGAGAAACATGATTCATTTTTTAGCACTGGAAGTAATTTCAGAAGGTTATGCTACTTAGGTATTTATAAAGTCTGGGTGTAATTTACACATCTTGCCGGACAGAACCCCAGTAGAAGTCAGCAGGCCACTATTTGGGAATTGACTTGAGATTGTGATAGTTATCGACGATGTTCACCATGGGTGGGCTCAGGACGGTAAGTGCGCGCAAATTAACTAATAGTGATAGCAGACTTGCACAGCGCCGGGCGCACTCTCTCCTCCCTCACCCACCTGGATGCGCTGACAAGACTGGGTCAGGACAACCAGGGACGGCTTCGGACGCATTGGCTAGACAACCCGTCTACACGTGCCACACACGACCTACCCTCCGCAAAATATATCAGAACTTGTTGATAGAGGCGAACAGGACTGCCCCGACTACCAGTCAGTTTGGCATCCTCTCGAGACTTGTTTAAGTGTCAGGTTTTAGTGCCTACTCTACGTTCAGTGTTTCCGACTGGTTTCGTGCAGTCGACTCCGTCGGTACACTGATAAATTTTCAATCAGAGGGTCAGGGTTCGAGTCCCTAACTAAGTGAAGGTCAATAGTAGTGAAAATCCGATTCCCAGGTGGCATATCAAAAGAAGAGGGGGCGTTCACCGGGAGGGGTTTATTTGAGATCCGACGTTTCGGGTAGTTTATTCGTCTACCCATCTTCAGGGACTGGGAGGTCCTGTGCACAGCACTCCTTATTATGGCGCCCTTTGTCCAATGCGTGATCCGCCAATGCCGCCTGTGTGACTGCATCCAACCCGCATGTCACCGTGACCTGAATCGCCCCCGTCGGCCGCGGTGATGACTGACGGCCCCGATTGTCCCGCGCCGTGACTGTCCACCGCTAAGAAGGTTCGTAAAGTCAGATAAGAGGGAGGCAAATTGATGTGGAGGTTGACAGAGCGGTCGGTGGACATCCAGGCTTCTTGCACTTGCCTTGCTGTGTGATCGCTGCCCTGGCCCACAATCTCAACGGCGTAAAAGTTGAAGATGTGTCCCATTTGCGCGGCATGGGTTGCTACCTCCGACTTTGGGTCCAACCTTCGCACGGCCAACTTATGCTCGTGCATTCGCGTTTGCAGCCGTCGGCCGGTTTCCCCAACGTAGTTGCAACTTCCGCAGCTGCATTGAAGTCGGTAGACAACGGCCGACATCTCCTGCTTAGGGATCGGATCTTTCGGCCGCATCACTTGCCGGCGGATTGTTGAGTCAGGCCTGTGGGCAACACCTATTCCGAGTGGCGCGAGTGATCGAGCCACGACTTCGGAGACCCCTTTAATATACGAAATTCTCCGCCATGAGTTTGGCTGACTATGCTCCTCGTTCCGTTTCCTTGGCTGCCTCCGGCTTCGTTCAATGAATGCCCGCGGATAGCCACTGGCTCTGAAATGTTATCGGAGGAGCTTTATCTCATCCAGTTTGGCGGCTGGCGTGCTGCAATGAGTTTCCACCCGTCGGTACAGCGTGCGGACACAGCTTCGTTTGTGTTGTGGTGGGTGGTTGCTGTGGTGGCTGAGAATTTGCAGAGTGTTCGTCGGTTTTCTGTAGATCGACGTCGCTAGTTCGCCATTTGGTTGGCGGCAGACGAGAACATCCAAGAATGGAAGTTTGGCCTCTACTTCCTCTTCCATCGTGAACTTCCATCGTCTTACTGACTGTCAAATGTTACATTCGGTATGACCATGCAGGCCTTCAGGCGAGATAGTTCGCGAATACACCTGTATCCGGTGTTCCTCCACCAGATATTTCGCAATAAAACGACTTGTTTTTGCTGCGGCCTAGTTAGACTGCGATGTTTTTAAGCTTGCGTGCCTGTTGTGCAATGCAGGGTTGATGAGGGCACTGTAGACCTCAGTTCTGCCCCAAGGCTGAGCCAAAATTGTTATTGTCTATTTGTTTTCCATGATGTTTGAGTGGAAACTGGGGTGGAGGTGTCAGCTGAGGCCTAACGGACTGCCAGGTCATGAGTCAATAGGTCCTGCATTGGTGGTGATGGGCTTGAAAACGATTCCTGAAGATGAATCGATGGGCCAAATAAGAGCCACTTGGAGTCCAAAAAATTAGAGTGATTGTAGACCTTAGTGACAATTTGGATGTGTCACTTGGTACTTTCATCGATAAATAGGGCAACCCCAAGTTCTGAAACACTGCGCCGAGGCAGATCGTGTGGGCCCCACGTAGATGGGTCTTTCAGTTTTGTCGGCCATTTCTCCCAAAATCCCTTCCCATCGTCCTGACTACGTCTTGTCAGCGAGTCCAGGTGATTGGGGGAAAGGAGAGTGCGTTAGGTGCTAGACAAGTCTGTTATGACTATAAACTGGTTTCTGCGCAGTTTACCGTTTCTGGGCCAACCGGGTTGAACAGCGGTGGAGGTCATCATTTGCGACGACCGAACTATCTGCAATCAGACGCAGAAAAAGCACAAATTTCGACGAATAGTTCTTCTTATTTACTAACCAGACTGAACCCTAAAGAAGTGCAAAAGTACGCACCGAAGTCATTTTCGTCACAAAAGGATTCAATGCTGCCAGTATGTCATGCCTGGAAACAAAGTCATACTTTACCGCTTTCCGTGACTACTGAATCATTTGATTAACCAGTCGGAATTTTATCAACAGTCTAGCCATAAAGCAGCCTAGCTTGATGAAGAAAGACGAGTTGATTTTCCCTTATGAAGGCGGGTGACTTCAGACATCAAAAACCTACCGTGGGTGAGTTGATAGATTTGGGTAGGACAGTCTTTCGGCCTCCCTAACGTGTCTTTTACCGGCAGACTGCCAGCCTATACGTCAAGGGAAGCAGATTCTCCGAAATAATCCAACACGAGGCAAAATGGTTACAATCGTAACTTTTCGTCAATTTACAAATCTTAAACGTGAAGAATGCACAACCATTAATCATTAATTCTGTAAGGCCACCTTAAGTGGTCTTACGGAGGAGATAAGTATTATATAAATTTTTTAAAACATAGCCTTCCAAATTTCAACTGTAAAATTCTCCACAACCTGTTGAACCATCTAGCAGACAGGAAAGGGATGTTTCAGATAAATTGCTACCATGCGTCCAGGGTTTAAATTCGATTTAAAGTCATCAGGGTTTGTGTATTGAAGAAGGCATCAGGTTTTATAGAAAAAACAGTAATTTCAACTAAGTCTTTCATAAGCGACTATCGAATAGACTAATGCTGGCTTTCTCAATCGCCAAGTCCCTTTACGAAGTTTACTGTACAGAGGGGCTGTTAGTAGGTCCTTCTCTAGCGTCCTTTTTCACTCAGGACTCCATCCAACAGCGAATAAACCACCTAGTCGATAACGACGATCTGATTGGCCACAGAGGCTAGCACGCGAGCGCGCGATGCTGCGAGCAATGCCGGCTTTTGCGCGCGTCTGGCTGAAAGCCTTGGGAGTTGTTGTTGCATGAGTAGCATTTTGGGTAGAAAATATAAGAAGGACTTGTTGGGTGGATCAGCATTCCAAGTCAGACGACAATGGGTGTTGACAAGAAGTTCAACGATGAGGCTTTGGAGGCACACAATGCGTAAGTCAGTTCCAATTTACTGATGAATGTAAACTAGTATTTGTGCAAAATTTACAGAGGTATAGTTAAACTTTGTATACATAATACAATGCATTCAGTGCCCTCGCTGAGTGGCTGACAGTCCAGATACGGTGAGTGACCGATCTTATGAAATGGCCGAAATTCTGAAATGCGTTTTCGGTTAGGAAGGATTACTCAGACGTGGTTATAATTCTGATTATCTTGCAGCATAATCCTATAGTATTTCGGACTCGGGGGGGTGTCAGCTTTTGAATGCATTGCTTTTCAATTCCCTGTAGAAACCGTACTCGTTAAAACAATGGCTTCTTCAGTAGCACGCATTTCTCTTACTACTTTTCGACAATCCTGCAAATTCAGATATATTTTATAGAAACCACGAACGGCAATACGCTTGCCTTCAGTCGTTTGATATAGAATTACACCTTCTTTACATTTTATACTCAAGGAGAAGAATAATAATAAGGTTTTAAAAAGTTTTTTATAATTCCCGAATAATTTGGAGCTTGATCTGTCGTTGCATTAGTGCTTAGTGATTTCAGTCTACATGCAGCATACTCTCCGCGTAAAGAAAATTACATATTTTTCTATGTCTTCTAAAAGATATTATATAGAGTCTATACAATTTTGCAATCAGTGTGGACTATGTTGCACATTTCATGAGGAGCTGTGGTAAACGGCCAGGTACGGTACTATGTGAATGAACATTTCGCGGTCTTAAAAAATCTCATAATTAGAAAAATTTTTAAAACCTGGTTATACTGCTTCTTCGAGTAGAAAATACAAAGAAGACGTAATTCTCTATCAAACGACTGAAGTCAAGCATATTGTCGTCCGTGGTTTCTATAAAAGTTTGCAAGACCACCTAAAAGCAGTGGGAAAAGTGCGTGCTACTGAAATAGCCATTGTTTTAACGAGTACGGTTTCTACAGGGGACTAAAACGTGATGCATTAAAAAGCTGACACCCCACCGAGTCCGAAATACTATAGGATTATGCTACAAGATAATCAGCATTATAATCACGTCTGAGCAATACTTTCTAACCAAAAACGAATTTCAAAATTTCAGCCAACATTTCATGAGATCGGTCACTCACTGTAGTTCTCATGGTGACTTTTAAATCCCCTCATTTGTCGGTTAACCACCCCATCTTCTTGTCTTGTTGGCGTTTGCAGGCTTCGTAATCTACACGGCTGTTCTCCGCTTACATACGATGCGGAACTTGCCAAACAGGCTCAAAGCTATGCGGAACAACTGGCCCGAATGAACAGACTTGTTCACAGCAATTCAACAGATCGTGGAGAGAATCTGGCGACAGCAAGTGGCATGCCTACAGCCAACCTGAGTGGTAGGTATCAGTTTCAAAACTGAGAGCGTTAAATCGTCGTTGTTGCAGAGCACACCGCCTAAAGTTCGATAGCTGATAGGGCCAGTTAGACTAACTCGCACTTAAATAAATAGATCACCACGTGAACGCTCTTAGCTACAACAGAGTTTAATTTCTTTTGAAAGTACAAATTAGGGTTTTCTGAATTTTTGACTTAATTAGAACATTTATTACTGCGGGGAGACTTAAAGAAACACTCCCTGGATGCATGTTTCAGCCTTTAGAATGGTCTCCGAAATCGTAAAGCAAACGCTAGGAAGGAAAATGTGTTTTAGGGTTGGTTTCGTTCATGTGGGGTTGTAATGTAATGTTGTAATGTTAACTGGCGTACAGCATAATTCAAAGATATTTCAGTTAATGCGGGATGCCGGCTTTTGAACGAACGTCCTTCCAGCCGCTCACAAAAAATACACTCTGTAAGAATGACTTCTTAAGTTTTATGCATTTTTCTCGTTCACTTTCGATGCCCTCAAAAGTTAAAACATATTTCCTGAGCGGCATGCATAAAAATATTCATCCTTTTATTCATTTGAAAGAAAATAATGTCTTCTTTAAATTGTGTGCTCGAAAGGATGGTATGATTCGGCTTTAAAAATTCCCAAATGATTTTGGACTCAACTTGAATTTAACTTTTGAACCCAGAGTTTCCAGACTACAAGCTGTAGGCTTTTCTTGCAAGAAAATAATATATTCCTATACGCTATTAAGAGAGCGTCGTATGGAGTTTGTAAACGTTGGCAGTGCATTTGAGGTATATTGCAAACTTTGCAAGAAACATTAGTATATACAGAGACACAATGTTGTTCGAGCGGGCATTTCACAGTCTTAAGTAATCTCACAATTATAAACATTTAAAAACCGAATTGTACCTTTTCTTCGTGCATTTTTGCGCTTGTTTTCCACGAAAGATAATCGAATTTTAAGGGGCATTTAAAGTCAACGAGAAAAATACACACTACTTAGGAAGTCATGCTTTACATAATGTAGCTTTTGCTGGCGGCTGGAAAAAAGAAGTTTTGTTCAAAAGCGGGCATCACGTAGTAACTAAAAACACATTTTAGAATTCCGGCCATTTTATTAGTTTAGAAAATGTCCTACACCTGTGCGCGTTGAAATTCATGAAGAGGCACAGTCTTGTAAGAAAAGACTACCTAGTCAGGGTCACGCAATATGGGTACGGGAAAAGGTTTTATTCGTAACGTGCACGTAGCCATGCAGCAATATCGTACCGTACTGTGTGTACAATGTGTAAGCCGGAATATTCGATCATACTCTTTACATTGCTAACAGAAGATATGCTATCTCATGGAATTTTAACCAAAATTGTGATATGTGTTTCTGATCCGAAAATATTGTCTAGTGGGGCTGTAACGCGATTCATTGCACAGAATAATCCTCAAACATTTTAGTTAAAACAGGATGTCGACTTTTGAACATACTTCGTTCCGACCGGGCGCAAAAAATACACTTCGTAAAAACGACTACTTAAGTATCGTGAATTTCCCTTGTGATTTTCAATATCCTAACAAATTCAAAGGGACTTTATGAAAAACACAAAAATATTCTTTTTGCTCTCGTATGATAGGCAATTACGTCACCTTAAACTTCTACACTTGAGGAAATGGTTTCTTTCGGTTTTAAAAACTGTCGAGATTCCCGGTTAATTTTGAACCCGACCGGCCGTCATGGTGCTCAAACTACCAGGTGCATACTTTTCCTGTACGAAAAAGTAAAGCCTTTTACTAGGAAGGCTTCGTAAAATGCTCATGAACATTGAAGATGGATGTGGGCCGTGTTGATTACTTTATAAGCAGTTTCAATATACAAACAAATAGAATGCTTTGTGAACGGACACTTCATCATCATAAAGAAATCAAAAATAAAAAAATTCTTTAAAAGCAAAAATACCTTTTTCGAGTAAAAAATGGACTGGGGCAAACTTCACTATGGAATATATACAAGAAAGAATATTTTATTATATGTTATCTATATAATGTACTTTAATTTATAAAGGCATCGATCATCAATGAAAACATTCATGGTACTCAAGCGGACATTTTTTCAGGATTTGGTTCTTACGGACGGTCGAAAAAAGGTTTGTTTAGAGGCCGAACACTGCTTTGACAGAGATATCATCATCAGTCGGACACACTCAGCTCCGAAATGTGCAAAACCTGGGATTCCATCCTGCGACCTTTTGGTTAGAAGTTCAACGCCCCTAACCCCTGCAACTTCTCGCGTTTGCAGACAATTGCAGAAGCATGACCCACGACATGCTTAATTTAGAATTTGAAAGATAATCATGGGTTCTCAACGCATTAACTTTTTTTTCTTCTTTTCCAAATGAATAAGCAATCTCTAGTGAATTGATACAGTTACCCAATTCGGAAACACTTGGTTACAGTGCCAGGAAAGATCAGACACAATTGTTGATAAGAGCAAAAGGTCCCCAGAATAACAGCTTGTGATTTAGTCGGAGTCACCAGCTAGCCTCAGTTTAATAACGGAGTGGGACGATCTGAGATTTGACTTTTTTAAAGTAAACTGTAGAGCACGGTTGAGATCGGTAATATAGACTCAGGGAAACACCCTCCTTTACAGGACTTGTTGTGTTCTGTACCACACGTCTGAGTTTGTTTGTGACATTTCTCTGTGGGAGAGTAGAATACCAACAAATACAAGGAATGATGAAGTAGGCGTTTCTGGGTCCTCTGCGCTCACCATGCAGCCACCCCCCACCTCATGTACCTAGAGGCATGAAATTTCAACCAGCGTCCAGTCATGCATCGAATATCTGACGTGAATAATCACATAGGGGCTAGAGATTTCGAAGAAAGAAAGAAATAACTTCTTCCGTTTGAAAGTCTAAGCCCAAGCTGAGTTCAAGTCCAAGTCTAAGATTTGCCAGAGAAACCGATAAAACACAAACTAACTTTAAAGAAGAAAGATAGAAGGACAGTCGCGGAAGGCCTGAAGATTGTTTTTAACCCAAATGACAGCACGGAGAATGCAGACTGGTCGTCCTTGGCTGTTGTCGATATTCCAGTCTTCCCTGGCTTTGTCGGTGGTATTATTCGGCCTATATTACTACCCGCTGTTTGACTGCTGGCGCGGCTCGAGAGATAGAAAGCCCTAAGGCACAAAGAGAGGCGAGATTGTCCCGTAATTCTACCGGCGAGCGTCCCGTCGTTCATGTACATATTATGTGAATTCATACAGGAGGCAAAAGGTCCCAAGTATACTTTAACAACTATGTTGCACTGCGACTCATACGCAGTGCATGTGTCTCGTGCGCAACACATATGTACCAATGTAGCAATACAATGCCGAAATTCCGTACCATACCCCATAGAGTATGCACATGTGACGATATAACATTGCCACACGATATAACATTACCACACGCGGCCTATACATTATGCGTAATGATGATACAGTAGGTGGGCTAACTCATGAAATGTCGACCGAAATTACAAAATGCGTTTTCGTTTCGAAAAGATTAAGTAAATAGAGTTGTAAAACTAGTTAGCCTGCAGTATAATTCTATAATATTTCAGTTACCTCAGAATACCGGCTTTCGAATAAACTTCCTTCCGGCTGCATGCAAAAACTACAGTCTGCAAAAATGACTACTCGATTAGCGTGCATTTTTTTCATCGATTTTCGATTCCCCTAAAAGTACAATTATATTTCATGGAAAACATGCGTAAAAATATTAATTCTTTCCCTCATTCGGCAGATATTTACATTTTCTTCCAATCTTATACTCGAAGGAGGGACATAATTCGGTTTCTAAAAAGTTCTCTAATTCCCGAATAATTTTGAACCCGCTCTGCCGTCACACTTGCATTCAGGGTTTCCAAACTACAAGCCATGTATCTTCCGCGTACGGAGAAGTACACATTTCTCTACGGTATTAAGAGGAGACCATATGGGGTTCATAAAATTTAGCAACGGATTTGATCCATATTGTTAACTTTATAAGCCACATTGATTAATGCAAAGACATGACGATTTATGAACGGCTATTCCACTGTGTTTAGAAGTCCCACAATCATAGACTTTTTTAAAACCGAATTATGTCCCGCCTTCGAGGATGAAAGTGAAAGAAGACGTAATGTTCTTCAAATGAGCGAAAGAATGAATATTTTTTATGCACGTTTTCCATGAAATATAATTGGACCTTTAGAGGCATCGAAAATCAATGAGAAAACGTCATGCTAATTAAGTAGTCGTTTTTTACAGAGTATAGTTTTTGCATGCAGCCGAAAGGAAGTTCATTCGAAAGCCGGCATCCAGGGGTAACTGAGATATTATAGAATTATGTCACAGGCATGATAGTTTTACAACCCTACTTGATTAATCTTTTCGAAAAGAAAACGCATTTCGGAATTTCGGTCGACATCTCATGAGTTAGCCCGCCTACTGTAGTTTACCGCTATCTTAGAAGTCCCGAGTCATGTCAAAAGTATAAATTACTCGAATGAATAGATTACTGCGTTAGCAAACCGCTAGCCTATTTGGTTAGATTTGGATGGCAGCCTTGAACGTCACATTACTCTATTAATAAGCCTCATTTGTCTTTAAGCAGAATGTACATTATTATGTGCCAATTATTCGCATGGTGCATGAGCTGAAAATTCCCGACTTAATTTACGAAGTTTGTTATTGTTAAAAGTTACACCACACGTCTTCGCCTCATACAAACAGCCCCATCTCTGTGAGGTAACTAAAGTTGACACCTCCTGTCTTTACCAGGGAAGAGTACCGCTGCTTGTCCCTTCAGTAAATCACGACGTTTACAGTAGTACAACATATGCTCTTGCAATTTACCCACAGACTGGCGGCAAGATGTTGCACTTATTTCTCTATAAGTGAAGAAAAGTTGAGCACCGGAACACTTTGTTTATTGTCCTGAGCTTTCAGACTCGTACAAGAGTCCATCGTCAGAGGTAGTAGCAGCAACAGAACAAGCGACAGTTATAGGGCATGTAGGCCAATCATCGACTGACGGCGCAAGACTGGAGATGAATACACAGGGCTCTGTACGCCGGCGCCAGATCGAGAAATCGATTGACCGAGTTCTCATCCGGGACCCAGGCTTCAAGCGATTTTCGGCATGTTTTTTTCCCGGCGTGGGCGACTATTTTGGTGGCTGCGAAGTTAAACTCGTGACCCATTCCATAGGTGTGGGTGGCCACATGTGATAATACGTCACCTCGTCGCACAACCAGCTTATGTTCGTGTATGCGTGATCCGAGCATGCGCCCAGTCTGCCCTGCGTAGTTACATGGACAATTCTGACACGGAGTGCGATACACCACTCCAGATTGCTTTTCGGGCTTTAACCGGTCTTTGATTTTCATGACCCTATTGCGCATGGTGGCTTTGGAGCGGTGTGCAATTCCAGCACCTTGCTTCGCAGCAATGCGCTCGGTCGCTTCTGCCATGCATCCTTGACGTATGGCAGAGAATGCCATATCGTCGTTGGTGTTGATGTTCGAGTCCTCTGGTGGCGGCCGCGTAGGCAGCGACTTATAAATGCCATTGGATAGCCATTTTGCACAATCTCGTCGTGGAGATAACGGGCCTTATGTGTTTTGTCATCCGGTTTGCTGCAATGAGTTTGAATCCGTTTAAAGAGCGTCTTAACACAGCTTCGTTTGTGAGCCACCGGGTGGATACTGTGAAAACTGAGAAGCTGTGCGGTGTTCGTTGCCTTCCTATAAACCGTCGTTTCAAGTTCACCGTAAAGGTTTCGTCTGACAAGCAGGAAGGGCAACTGCTGTTCCTGTTCTTCTCCCCTCGTGAATTTTATATCAGGAAAGACTGCGTTGAGCAGGCTGTGGAAATGTTGTAGCATGTCCATCTTTACGATGACGAACGTGTCGTCTACGTAACGGCGCCAAAATACCGGCAAATTTTGGATGAAGGCAATCTTTTCTGACTCCTGTAGGACCAGTTCTGCTACTAAACCGGAGACCGGTGAGCCGATTGGGGTTCCCTTGATTTGTTCATAGGTCTCCCTCGCAAAAGTGAAGAAAGTTTGTTGGCAGAATTCAAACAACCTCATGAGGTGTTCAATTTTGAGTGCATTCTGAGTCTCATCGTACGTCTCTTCAAACCTCTTGCGAAAGACTTCGCGGGCCAAGTTTGGTGGGATAAAGATCACGATTTTGTCCGATTGAATCCTCCGACCTCGCAGGTTTCCATCCAAAAACTAACCCAAAAGCGAAGACCGTGAGGTCTTGTGCAAAAAATCTCAGAGCAAGACACCGGAATATAAACCGATGAAAAACCAAATCTCGTCCACTTAGATTGATAATGGCTTGATGCACATAAGTAGTAAATTCTGAGGCTCATTTCAATTTCAAGGAGGTTTCGGTGCAATTTTAAAATAATTAACTGCTAGAGAAACAGACTGCACGCGGGAATAGGAAGCCTCCGTAATACAGTGACATTGTATTTAATTCTAGTGACAGGAATTAAGATAGTTCTCTTTTATTCTTTCGTAAGCTGCGGATGCCTCACTTATGTGGTACAAAGAAATTCTGGAGTACGACTTTCGCGGACAGGACCAGATTGCCTGCGGTATGTTCTACCTTCTCTATTCAATAAAAATAAGGAAAGTTAATTGCCCAATCAAGTTAATAATTGACAAAGGACTGTGGAATCCCATTTGTTAAAACTCCTTTACTGCAAACAGACTGCCGGGATATGTTATCAATCATCAGTTTGAATAATGGTTTTATAAAAGTTTACTGTTTGACGACTATCATGTATCATCGCATGGGATTCGAAGTCATGCCGACAGTTTGATTGTAAAATTAATGAGCGCGGAATTTGTTGTTGCTCTCCCTTGCATGATAATTGAGCGTCTTATGTTTACTTCCTCTGAACAGAGGTTGTTAACAGTTTAAAGCTTCACGAGTACATATCGATCAGTTTCGAATGGCTCCTTCTTTTTATTTATCAATTAGCCTTATAAGACCACTGGAGGTGAAAAGATCATGAATCTTTCGATGGGGGTTCCCCTCCAGCGAGATCGGTTCTCTGGTCGGAATGACTCGCTAATAAACAGCAGAATATTCCTTTACATACCTGCATAATCTAGCGATTATAATTTATGCTCCCCGGTCTTGTAATCCTACCGGCAAACTTGTTTTCACGCGAAAATGCATCCAGAAGAAAAATTCTGCATCCTAGGAATTTCTCTGGCGATTGCATGATTCAGAAGGAGGCATCATCTTCGTACGGCCATAGCACTTTAGGCACTCCTTAACGAATGACTAAATACACATACAAAGCGTGATTCTTGCAGTGAAATCAGTTCATCACTTTCAAATTTGGATGCCTAATTTTAACAGGTCACTTCTCGCAGCTGGTCTGGAAAGATACCAAAGTTGCCGGCTTCGGAGTGGCGAAGACCGCAAATGGACAAAGCGTGTACGTTGTCGGCCAATACAAACCCCCTGGCAACTTCATGGGCCAGTGGGCTAGTCAAGTCCCACGACCCCTGAACGGGAAGGTCGTCGTGCCGACAGCAGAGGCATTGATGTGTAAGTCATATTGCTCAGTCGGACTCAGGAACTGTTTAACGTCATAAATTCATTCTACTCACTCAGTACTAGTAGCACTTGCGGTAAGTGGTTTAATTCGGGAAACGTTACGACCAGTTCGGGGGGCACCCGAACGCTAGACATTTTGCACATTAGCGCCACGCGCTCCCGAAAGCTATTTTATCAACGAAAAGGCTGACTAATCCTGTGCGGAATTAAACGCCACTACGTGTCAAGGTAATTGCCTTTGTTAATAACTGTAGCAGACAACATCTGCGTCCCAATTTCAGTTATCTAACTAGAGGGCATAAGCACAAAAGACGAAAATGTCTCACAGCTATCGTCACAACAAAAAGCTTGATTTTTCAGGTTGCGAAATTCAGGCGGGACAAGGAGTGAAGCAGCATGTTTTCTTTCCAAAAAACGGAAGTTTATACTCCTTTCGAAAATGCTGACTTGTAAATTGCAGTGATTTTTTTCACTACAATGCTGTAATAATGGTCGCAAGCCGTCAACTGCTTTAGCGCGCTCCTGCTTTTCCTGACATACGCAGTTATTTCAGAGGGGAAAATAAAAAGTTCAATATTTCAAATGTTATTTTAACTTTGAGGATATAGTAAGATACTTTCTATGCGGTCTAGTTATTTAGAAGCAAAATGGGCGCAGCATAAGTGGGGTTGGGCATTATTTTAGTCCTTCCCTGGACACTCTATGGCGCAATTATAAGCCTAGACGTATATAATGATAATAAAAATGGCCCCAAATAATGAGAAAAGGAAACTTTTCGTCTGCGACAGGAACGTGACCGGTTGCAAAGGTGGGCCAGTCGTTTGGATTCTTTCCATCACTTTAATTTGAAAAGTGTAAAGTATGTGAACCTTCATCAGCAAAACACCCTAGTAAAACACTTTGTAAGAGAGGCAGTTAATTAAAGAAGGATTTTAGATTGATAAGAAGCGTATTAATCACAGGTCTTCGTTGGGAACGCCCTTTTTTCCTCGGCGACTGGATGAGTCTACAGATATGGCAAAAACGTCCTCACTAGTGGCAGAGAAATTTTTCAAAGATTATCTCATCAGTTTAGACAATCGACATAGTACTCTGAAAACCTAAGAGTATTCACTGTCATTTCAAAAATATCAGTAAACACGGCCAACGTCGTTGTCGCCAGGAAGTTCACAGTAATTTCGCAAACGAAAGTTTTTATTTTAAAACACAGAAAAGTGGATGCTTCTAATAGAATCTGTTACCTATATTCCGAATTCTAAGTCATTGTCTGCATCTCACCGTGAGGTCTTGAGAAAAAGCTAATTTTTTCGACGTCCCTATCAGCAAGATCAAGTAGAATTTTTTATTATGTTGCCTGCATAAAACAAGTAATCAGCTATTATCCCTAAAATTTAAAATGTAATCCTACTTATGACCACTTGTCAAACTACAGCGGAGTTATCAAGGTCAACAGACTATTATTAATAAAATTCTCTGTCACCGGTATTCTAAACTGATGCCAATACCAAGGTCAAATTATATCACTGCACACTCCCGTTTGAAGAAAAACCGTGTTTACCTATATCCTGACAGGCTTGCCACACGAAGAAGTCCAGAAACCGGCTCCAAAGCCCGTCGTCCAACCCCCGAAGCCGCAGGCAAAACCTCCCGTTACCACTGCTGCGTCAACAGTAGGCACCAGTGAGACCGAAGTATGCCCAATTGCATTGTCTACATGTTAACTTTCCTCAAAATGCTCGAATGAATTTGTATGACTGCTCTCACTTGTAAATTAAGGAGCCAAACCTGAAAAGTGCCATTGTTGCTGCCCACAACGAATTCCGGCGGGCGAGAGGTCTACAGCCCCTTCGTGTCAACTCTGTGAGTTCTCATTGAGAAAATGCAAGATTCTTGATCACAAAATTGTATCCTTACTTAATTCCCCCCCTCCTTCTCCTCATCCATCTTCTTCTTTTTTAGGAGCTGGAGAATCTTGCACAGAAATGGGCTGAGTCCCTCAAAGCGGGCAAGAGCCACGGGAAATGTGATTGGACGTTCCGAGGCCAGCCGGTGGGACAGAATGTTTTCAAATCTCGACATCATAAAAAAGATGGTGAGTTTTGTTGGGCACTATGTGCATTGGCAGAGGGGCGCTCACTCGTCCCGTGGTGCCTTACGGGCTCTCTCTCTCTCTCGGGCCCAACCAGCAGTCGCACAGCGGCGCAGAATAAAGGCAGAATTATAGTACCGAAGAAGACAAGGGCGACTGGAATAGTCATTTCTGGCTTATTAGGCGTCGTCAGTCAGACATACCCAAACTCCGAAGTGTGGAACAGATGGGGCTCGATCCCGCGACTGGTGGGCGCCCCTCTGCCATTGTATATTTCCGATCGAAAACCGACAAGACAACGGGCTCGTGGCCCAGTGGTTAGAGGCGTGGACTTCTAGCTAACAGGTCGCGAGTTCGAGCCTCGGGTGTTGCACGCTTCGGGGTTGGGTATAACTTGCCGACGACGGATAATAAGTCAGAAATGGCCAGTGCAGTCTCCCTTGTTCTTGTCGGTAATACCACTTTGACTATGTACAAATGAAGAAACATCGCCCTTGACTTGCCTTTTATGCGCAAAAAAATAAAAGTCTTATTAGCTTCTGAGACATATAGTCCCTCCCCCCTCGCCCCAGAATGTTGACCTACAATTTTATTTAATTATTTTTCTCGTAAATTCAAACAAAGCCGACTCGATCATCAAAAAGTGGGCCGGCGGAGAGAAGTACTACCAAGGAGCTAGTAGCGCGTCGACCACCCCCAAAGCCGGTAAGCCTGAGTGACCTTAATGGCTGGTGTGCTTTGCGGATATAGATAAATGACCCTCCTTTACTGAATGATTTTTAATTTGGACCTTGCAGCAAAATTCACCCAACTTGTGTGGGCCTCTAGCAGTGAGATCGGTGTTGGCGCGGTGCTGGCGCACAGACCCCACCGGTCCGTAGTAGTTTGCTTCTACAGTCCCGCCGGAAATATACCCAGTGGCTACCGCTTCAATGTGGACAATTACCTCAACTAGGATACTGCATACTTCCCTTCAAAAGACGCCATGCTACTGCCGAAAGAAAGAGACCGCGCATTTTCCGCCCTATTTTTGGTTTGTTTTTCTGTTACTTAAACTCGCCCCCAATTTTAGGACCGCAGAAACACAAAAATACGGAGATTTCAATGCCAGTAAAATTTATTCTAATATAACTTTTGCGTTTTTGAGCTATGACGAGGAGGGGAGCTAGGAAGCATCCATTAACTTGCAAAATAATAAAGGACTGTAAATATGCTCACTTTATGAGTTATCCAAAACGTGGAGACCAAAAAACTTGTCAAATGAGTGTAAAACATGGATGAACCACTGTCATAAGCTGGTACCCGTAACATCTCACGTTGGTTTTGGTTTGCGAATCTTTCGAACCGTTCAAAACGACCTCAATTGAGTAGTAGGGCGTGTTAGTTTCTCTTATTTTAAGTGCCTATGCAAGGCAAATTTAGAGGATTTGTATTCCTCTGTTGAAAGTAGAGCTTCGTTGACAAGACTTTCCAGATTCCTATTCAGGTTTATCATGCGAAAGAGGGAGAATTGAAGACATACAGTCCCCAATACTATCTCGGAAAATGCTTTGAAGTATGAATCCTACCATTCAGACCAATAAAAACCATTCCGAGTTGTGAAAATGTCCATAGCTATATTCAGAAGAAAAGGTGACGAGCGAACGTTTCTTTGGATACCTTCTCGTCAGGCCAGTATAGTTACATAGGACGGGGTACAGTGAGTGAAAAAATCGATAAAAGTTTATTTTTAAAATACAGGCGAGACGAGAGCGGAAGGACGCAGAAAGTTGTATGTAGGTAGTCAACCTTTGACCACGGTGAGCGCGGAGCCTGGACGAGGTTATTTTTGGCGCATAAGGTCGGTTTTCGTAACCTGATGGCAACCGCTTCTGCTGTTGCTAACAAGCGCTGGCCCAGTAGCTTAGGGTAGCTCGAGGGGACCTTATAAATCACGCGAAATGCTTTAGCGGGGTTTACACGATGCCCTGAATCCACAGCGTGTGCGAGGATGACGCTGTCTATTCACTTAGTTTTCTCTTTCGCCAGCCATGCGGGAAGGTGCTCTCGTATTCTTTCGGAAAGGCGCCGACTCGTACGACCAGTATAACCTGCTTCACAGGAGCAAGTGAATGAGTAGTTGCACATTGATGCGGTCTGAGGTGGCAGCCTATCCTTGCCTTATCCGCGTAAAATAGGGTTAGCAGAGAATGATATGCGAACCCTTGCTGCTGGCCTGACGAGAAGTTATCGAAAGCAACGTTCGCTCGCCACCCTTTTTTCTGAAAAATATTTTCTACCATTTTAAAACCCAGACTGACCCCTAGTATACCAACGTAGAAATTTTGGCAACTTCAGATGTTTTTGTATAGCCTTATTGCGGGAAACCACGCACTTCTAAAATGAAGCATTTAAAAGCGTGTAATATCCGCGATCAAAAGTCCACAATTCCTGTATTCTGAAAAAGCAAAAACTGAGGACACCGAAACGTTCGTGCCGAAAAAAACAGCTCATGTGTTTTTATCGGCACTTGGGCTATCGAAACGCACGTGTTGCTTCTTTTCAAAGGAAAGAAGAGTGCTTATGTGTGGAATTCGTTGGGTAGCGACAGAAATAAGGTATACTGTGAATGCTTGAGTTTCTTCTTAGTTTGGTCTCCACTCTGACATGTCATTTGTCGCTAATTTTGCAGAGCGGTCACAAGATAACGATTTTTCGGATTGAGATAATGAAATCATCCATATGCGGCAAAACGTTCCAGGGCATATTACGTTGGAAAATAGGCATAGGTCTTTTTCCGCAAATAGACTGGTTGAATTATACGAGACTATCGTTTACCGATCTATTTCAAACCCCGGATGGGAACTGACATTTACTTTCACCTTTAGTCTCCGAAATGAAAGTTATAACTCAGGAATACTACCGTCAAAGGGAATATTTAAGACGAAATATTGGCGCTGCAATTAAGTAGCTGCTACGAACTAAGGATAACTCAGCGAATTGTTGTTGCCTCGGAGAGTTTAAGCGGGTTTGAATTCAAATTCGCACTGTGAATCCAGACTATATCAAAGTCATTCTCTTAACTTAGATGAAGTAATTACCGCTTCACTTCGGTTTAATGCGTTTTTATCAACCCTTTGAACTTTGCTTCGTAAAAGTTGCTTTAAAATTCTATGGAGAAAATTTGCAGGGCTGAATAATGCAGGGAGCCCTGGAATTTATTTGGGGCTACTGCATCAATCAGTTGGGGACTTGTCGCATAATTTTAAAATAACAGCAGCACGAGGGCTGAGAAGGCGATATGAGACGAAGTTGACGTTTACGGGCATCGGAGGGCGAGAAGGATGCGACGGAGGAGGTTACTCGAGGTGGCTTCACAGCAGTACATTCCGAACAAGAAGCACACATTGTCGACGAAGAGGGACGTCTAAGGTGGTTATGTTTCAGTTAATTGCCGCCGTCAAACAACCAGATCTGGATTCTAAAGCACGAACATCAGGAATTTAAACACGAGGCAAAATGAAAACGAGTATTTCAGTCCAAAAGGCTGTCATTCAAGTCACGAGCCCACTTTCTCTGGTATGATAGGGTGAATTGTGTTTTGGTATTGTCCTGTACTGTATAACACAGTGTTCAAGTAAACGTTGATCAGGTTGTTGCCTCCACTTGTTCATTTTTTTTCCAAAATTAATAAGCAACTCTCTCGAATCTCCGATTTTATATACTGCGAACACATTTTATTAACTAACAAGTATCCCTCAACGAAGAAAGCACCGGAATTCAGAATGTGAAAGCAATAGTTGACGGTATAAACTACGTCACATACTGTACACCCTGACGAGCGCATTTAATTTCACTTCAGATGAACAATTAATATGGGCATTTTTTGATTCCATAGACTCCAACATGTCGGACGTATGCTTTGTGTGCGTATCTGATATGCGACATCCGCAATGGATCTACTTGAATCCAAAGGATTTAGTATGCCCAGTAGGATTTAGCTAGCGACGTGTCGGAAGTCACAACCATTTTTTTCAAACATAATTAAAGAAGTCAGAAGGACTCTATTTCGGTCAAAATTATTGCCTTCTCGTTCGCATTTAAAGGAAAGGCTCACAAACTAACCATAGTGTATGCATGACAATCGTGTTCTCCAGCGTTACGATTTCTCACGGATCCTTCTATGATGAGGACATTGTGGCTTTCGTTGAAAGTCGTTAATTTTACCAGCTGTCCAATGACAGGACATGAGTGCTTACTCCCGAACAATATTCACGTCTAGTATCTACTTATTTCATTTAGGTAGCCTGATGTGCGTAGATAATAATATCAGGAGTCCATTGCCGTCAACAGCGACCTGTTCTTTCCGTCCTGGTACAGTTAGGCCCATCCACAAAACAAACAGTACGTATTTACGCACTGCAGTGGTTAGCGACCCGTCAGCATAGCTGATATTCGCCTCTTCTGCCTACATCTTACAGTGGGTGATCGATCTCATGAAATGTTGGCCAAAATTCTGAAATGCGGTTTTGATCAGGAAGGATTACTTAGGCGCGGTTGTAATACTGATTATCTTGCGACATAGTCCTATAATATTTCGGACTCGGTAGGATGTCAGCTTTTGAATGCACTGCTTTTCAATCTCCTGTAGAAACCGTACTAGGTAAAAAATGAATACTTAAGTAGCATGCATTTTACGCACTGATTTTCGATGGTCTCGCAAATTTAAATATATTTTATATTTTTATATTTTATATTCGAAGAAGGCGTATAATTAGGTTTTAAAAAAGTTGTCTGATTCCCGAATAATTTGGAGCCTAATCAACCGTTGCGCTAGCGATAAGTGATTTCAGTCTACAAGGTGCCTGAGTTCCGCGTAAAGAAAATTACATATTTTTATATACCTTAAAAAGATGCCATACCGAGTCCACAAAATTTCACAATGGATGCGGACCATGTTGTACATTTCACGAGGAACAGTGGTAAACGGAGAGGTACAATGCTGTATGAACGGACATTGCACGGTCTTAAAAATCTCATAATTAGAAACTTTTTTTAAAACCTAATTATACTCCTTCCTTGAGTATGAAATACAAAGAAGGCGTGATTCTCTATTTATTGACTGAAAGAGAGCATATTTTCGTTTCTAGTTTCTATAAGATATACTTGAATTTGCAAGACCATCGAAAATCAGTGTGTAAGATGCATGCTACTTAAGTATTTATTTTTTACCTAGTACTGCTTCTACAGGAGATTGAAAAGCAGTGCATTCAAAAGCTGACATCATACCAAGTCCGAAATGTTATACGATTATGCGGTAAGATATTCAGTATTACAATCGCGAACAAGTAATCCTTCCTGATCAAAAGCGCATTTCAGAATTCTGGCCAACATTTCATGAGATCAGTCACGCATTTTATATAGCGTTTTCTGCGGGCTGCACCTTCAGCAATCTGTTTACTATTGGTCGCCGAAAAGGTCACCGGAAAACGTCCTTCGTGCTTTAAGTTGCCGGTTATTAGTTCAGTTAGTGACTTCGAGCTGTAGACCATGAAGCTTGTTGTCGACAAGGCCACGGTAGGCGGACGTCACCCTCGGACAAATATAGCCGTCTCCTGCGTTAGCCCCGTCCTAATGCTTCCTTCCTCATCCTGTGAGTGGCTCCTATACCCTCATAGTGGGCTCTCACACTTTTAGCTCCACCCTGCGTACTCCCTACGGCAGACACTGCAGTAATCTATGCGGCAGAAAATTGCTTCCCGGCTGGCAGCTTCGTGTCCTCTAATGATGAAGTCTGATGATTGATTTCCTTGTCCTCAGTTGGTTTCTAGTCGGACACTTAGATGGCTGCACGAAGGCGTCAACTCCCCTTTACTCTTATAATGGTTCCTTACAACTGCCCACCTACTGCTCTCTCGACATTGCTCGACAGTAGATAAGCCGTAGTGACCATGGTGTCCACAACGCTGCTAAGGT